AAAACCCGCAGCTAACATCATTCTTAATAACAAAACATGGAAAGCTTTCCTCCTAAGATCAGGAACAAGACAAATAGTTTCATAATTTCCATTCAATATCATAGTACTGCTACTTCTATTCATCACTGTAGTAGTGTCAAGCATAGGTAATTAGGTGAGAAAATAAAATAAAGGCAACCGCATTGCCAAGGAAGTAAAAGTAACTCTATCTTGCAGATGGCATTATCTTACAGAAAGAAAACTCTAAAGACTACGTACACAAAAATGCCTATTAGAGCTAATAATAGAGTTCAGAAAGGTTGAAGGATACAAAATCAGCATTAAAATATCAGTTGCAGCTGGGCTCGGTGGCTCAACCTGTAATCCCGTGCCTTTGGGAGGCTGAGGTGAGTGGAATGCCTGAGCCCACGGGTTTGAGACCCTCCTGGGCAACTTGGCGAGACCTCATCTCTACAATAAATAAAAAATGAGCCAGGCGTGGTAGCGCTCGCCTGTAGTTCCAGCTACTTGGAATGCTGAGGCGGAAGGATCACTGGAGCCCAGCAGGTCGAGGCTGCGGTGGCCGGGAGCAGCCACTGCACTCCAGTCTGGGTGACAGAGTGAGACTCCAACTTAAAAAAAAAAAAAAAAAAAAAAAAAAAAAAATATATATATATATATATATATATATATATATATATATATATATATATATCAGTTGTATTTCTATGCATTAGGAAAGAATTTAAAAAATCCCTGCCTCTTTCACTTGTATAATCTAATCTGGAATTGTACCCCACATATTTAAAATAAAATATATTAAAAATAAATAACCAAGCCGGGATCAGTGGCTCAGCCTGTAATCCCGCGCCTTTGGGAGGCTGAGGTGAGTGGATTGCCTGAACCCGCGGGTTCGAGACCTGCCTAGGCAGCGAGACCTCATCTCTACAATAAATCAAAAAAAAAATCAGCCGGGCGTGGTAGCGCATGCCTGTAATTCCGGCTACTCGGAAGGCTGAGGTGGAAGGATCACCAGGAGCCAAGCAGGCGAGGCTGCGGTGGCTGGGAGCAGCCAATGCATTCCAGTCTGGGCGACCTAGTGAGGCTCCAACTCAAATAAATAAATAAATGAATAAACAAACAAACAAACAAACAAACAAACAAATAAATAAATAACCAGGCAGGGCGTGGTGGCTCAGCCTGTAATCCCGTGCTTTGGGAGGCTGAGGTGAGTGAACTGCCTGAGCCCACGGGTTCGAGACCTGCCCGGGCAACTCGATGAGACCTCATCTCTACAATAAATCAAAAAAATTAGCTGGGTGTGGTAGTGCGCACCTGTAGTTCCAGCTACTTGAAAGACTGAGGTGGAAGGATGGTTGGAGCCCAGCAGGTTGAGGCTGCGGTTGGCCAGGAGCGGCCACTGCATTCCAGTCTGGGCGAGTGAGTGAGACTCCAACTCAAAAAATAAAATAAATAAAATAAAATAAAAATAAAATAAAATAAAATAAAATAATAAAATAAAATAAACCAAAAATCCTTACCTCACATTATATACAAAAATTAACTCAAAATGGATCAAATATCTTAAGAGCTAAAACTACAAAACTTCTAGAAGAGCCAGGAGTGGTGGCTCACGCCTATAATCTCAGCATTTTGGGAGGTGGAGGTGAGAGGATTGCCTGAGTCCAGGGGTTCAAGACTAGCCTGGGCAACTTGGTGAGACCTCGTCTGTACAATAAAGAAAAATGTTAGCAGGGCATGGTGGTGCGTGCCTGTAGTTCCAGCTACTTGGAAGGCTGAGGCGGAGGGATCACCTGAGCCCAGCACGTCGAGGCTGTGGTGGCCGTGAGTATGCCACTGCATTACAGCCTGGGCGACAGAATGAGACTCCTAAAAAACTTTTAGAAGAAAACATAGGATCTATAGCCATACCACCCTGAATGAGCCCTATCTCCTCTGATCTCAGAAGAAAACATAGGGATACATCTGCTTTACCTGGTACGTGGGCAACAGTTTCCTATATGACGCCTAAAGCACAGCACAGCAACCAAAGGAAAAATAAATTAAGACTTTAGCAGAATTAAAATGGACACTATGAAGATAGTGAAAAGGTGATGAACAGATTGAGAGAAAATATTTGTAATTCATACATGTGATAAGGGTCAAGCATCTAGAATGTATACAAATAAATGTATTAAATATATTATATATGTTTAGAAACAGTCTCACTATGTTCTCCAGGCTGGTCTTGAACTCCTAGGCTCAAGCAGTCCTCCCACTTCATCCTCTTGAGTAGCTGGGACTATAGGTGCATGCCATCACGCTTGGTTCTAAAATATATAAAGAATCCTTACAACTTGGTAATAGACAACCCAATTAAGACATGGGTAAATAATTTTATTTGTTTACTTACTTATTCTGAGTAGGAGTCTCACTCTGTCATCCTGGTTGGAGGGCAGTGGTACGCTCCTGGCTACCACAGCCTTGACTTGCTGGGCTCAGGCAATCCTTCTGCCTCAGCCTTCCAAGTAGTTGGAACTACAAGCATGCGCCACCATGCCCAGTTAGTTTTTTGATTTATTGTAGAGATGAGGTTTCGTGCAAGTAATTTTAGTAGAATAAAAATGAAACATTTAAAATTGTTGAACGTGATTGCCTCTGGGGAGTAGAAAATGGTGAGGTAGGTCATTTGGATTGGAGGGGGTAAGCTAATGTTCATGTTAAACTGTAGTACTATTTGGCCTCTAGATCAGTTCCCAAGGAATGACTGCTCTCCAGGGGACATTTGGCAATCTGAATCATATACCTATATCTATCTATATCTATATGAAGCTACATGTATAAACATATACATGAATATACACATCTATATTTAAATAGAGACAGGGTCTCACTATGTTGCCCAGGCTGGTCTCAAACTCCTGGGCTCAAGCAATCCTCCTGTCTTGGCCTCTCAAAGTGCTGGGATTACAGGTGTGAGTCGCTGTGCCCAATCCTGGCATCTAATGGGTAGAGCCAGGGATATTGCTAAACATTACTACAAGGCAAAGGATATTCTCCCATACAGAATTACATAGCACACATGGGGGGGAACCCAAAAAAATCTGTATTATTTTTTTGGAGGACAGGCTCCTTGTAGTATAGGCTTCCCCCACTAGCTAGGTGTTCTAGGAACCCATTGGCATCAGTGTACCAGCTACTGTTGTTATGAGAGGCTGTTTGGTTTCAGTTAATTTTTTGGGGAGATTATTTCAATGTGTTTGCCCCTTTCGTGATGGATGATGTATAAGCTTACCTGCCCACCCCACACTGAGTGTTCAGCAGTTTTTAACCAAAAACAACATGATCCCTGTGCCCCATCCTCCCTATTCACCAGATCTTTTTGTTTTCCTGTATGAGAAAAGACCTCAAAGGTCTTTTGATGCTTTAGTGCTTTTAGATCCCACATAAGAGAGAACATGTTGTTTGGCTTTCTGTTTTGAACTCATCAATTTTTATGCCTTTTAAGTGCTGCTGTTTTTTGTTTCACCTCTTCCACATGGGCAAAATGTGAAACAAAACACAGCAGCACTAAAAGGCATCAAAATTGATGAGTTCAAAACAGAAAACCAAACACCACATGTTCTTTCTTAGGTGGGACATAAACGGTCACAAAGATGGAAATAATGGGCACTGCAGACACCAATAAGGGGGGGAGGCTAAGGTTCAGTAAGTACCTATGGAGCACAACGTTCACTATCTGGGGAATGGGCCACCTGAGACCCAATTCCCACCACTATACAATATGCACGTGTACCCCCTGAATCTGAAATTAAAAAAAAAAACTTTGAGCAGTGGAAAAAGCATCTTGATAGGTGTATTGCATCAAATGGAGAGTACTTTGAAGGTGATGTTAAAATGTTAAGAATACACAATTTTTTATAAATAAATTCTGGGTTTCTTTGGGTCCCTCCCTGTACATACGTATATATGTATTTTGCTTTTTGAATTTTGAGACAAGGTCATACTCCTGTTGTCCAGGCTGGAGTTTGGTGGTGTGGTCACAGCTCACTGCAACCCTTACCTTTTGGGCTCAGTGATTTTTCTGCTTCAGCCTCCTGAGTTGCTGAAAATACAGGTATGTACCACCATGCCCAGCTGTTTATTTTTGTAGAGACAGTATTTTTTTTTTTTTTTTTTTTGAGTTGGAGTCTCACTCTGTCACCCAGACTGGAGTGCAGTGGCTGCTCCCAGTCACCGCAGCCTCGACCTGCTGGGCTCCGGCAATCCTTCTGCCTCAGCCTTCCAAGTAGCTGGAACTACAGGTGCGCACTACCATGCCCAGCTAATTTTTGATTTATTGTAGATGAGGTCTCGCCAAGTTACCCAGGCGGGTCTCGAACCTGCAGGCTCAGGCAATCCACTCACCTCGGCCTCCCAAAGTGCTGGGATTACAGGCTGAGCCACCAAGCCCGGCTGTGAGACAGAGTCTTACTGTGTTGCCCTGGTTAGTCTCAAACTCCCGGGCTCAAGCAATCCTTCTGTTTTGGCCTCCTCAAAGCACTGAGATTATACAATGTGATCCACCAACCCACTTCCCCTACCTCATCATGTTTTTGTTCTGCCTAAAGTACAGAGATACCATTATGCTCCAGAAGGGTTCACTATGTCCATAGGCCAGGCAGCTTGTTTGACTGACTTGATGCAAAGCAGAGACCAAATGTAGTGGCAAAGTAACTGGTGGAATGCAGCCTAGAATCCAATTCTGATGATTAGTATTGTCCTAATCTCCTTTAATTAAAAAAGGCACTAAAATTACTTCAGTGTGTCAGCTTTAAGTATTAGTCTCTTCCCCAAGAACAACCACTGACATAGTTTAATAAAATAAAATGAAAGACAATTCAAGAATAAAATTTGGGCAGCTTACAGTATTTTGAAAGTAAATGTTATGTAGATGGTTGTTATAAAAATTTCAGAATCCCAACTGTAGTTTTATTACTAAAAGAGACAACAATTAAATATAAAAACACGGAGAAGAAACGTAAGTTTTGGAAAAGGTAGATTTTTAATAACTGCTTTTTATCACCAGTTAAGTCATGCAGTTACAAAGTAGTTAGAAATTTCTGAAAGGGTAGTATAGTTTTTAAAAAAGCTCATTCTTACATATATATTGTCTAGCACTTCATTGGGACACTACTGTTCAAAAGGCCCTGGCCAAATGACTCCCAAACAGAATGCTCAACCCAAGGTGTTTTCAGCCCACTGTTAATGAAGCTGGGTGCAGAATGCAAAGCCTCTAGAAGGCGAAGACACAAAGTCAAGTCGAGGAGAGGCCACTGGCAGCGCTCAGAGCCAGCCAGCTCCAAACAGGGAGCCCATGTGGTTTTTTCTGGGACACTCTACTTGAATTATTGTTCAATTAGTCAACAATAGATCTTCAAAAGAAAACAATTAATCAACATGATAAAGTTACTGCATTTCTTGGACTATGTCATAATTATAGTTAGCAAATTCTGACATCTTAACAATAGCCTCCATCATTTTTGCAAATATGAAGATAACTTAACTCTCCATTGGGCTTTTTATTTTTGTTGGACAATAACATGACTGATAAGCTATAAATGATACTGTTTTATGATATAAAAATACGAGCTTTTTTCATTTATTATGTTTATAGGCATTCACCGCTTGAGTTAAGGTTAGGCTTGTTAAGTGATTAAAGGCAATTTTATTACAGCAGCATGTACTTCTTTTATTCTAAAAGAATAAAATTCATAAACAGAAACAGCTTTTATTTTTGTTTGCAACCTGTAAAACTGAGTTATTTTGCTGATGTAAAATACCAATAACTCACTTGAGGACGATGCCACCTTCTGAAAATGCCACACACCTACTTTTTGAATGTGTTAGAGTTACAGCACATCCCAGACTTGTCCACAGCAAAACAAGTGGGCAACTGACTGCTCTTGACTGCCTTCCTGGCAACAGCACTGACTGCTGAGAAGAGTCACAGAGCAAGGCTGCACAGCCCGATGGAAGAGACCTTTTATTTAAAGACAGAATATCTAAATGGCTCTCCAGTAGAGGTGATTTCTACTTTCATACTCATCAGCTTGTACATGATCCCCTAACCTTAATTTGTTTCTTCTTAAGGGGCTGATTTGGATTGACTTGGCTGAGAATGGTGTACATTATCTAATGAGTCAGAAGACAAAGGGATTTTTGTGGTTACATGTAAACTTGTGATAGGTCTGCAGAAGTTACAGGTAAAAGAGGGTAGTGAGGAAGTCAGCCACGATCCATCTATGTGAAGGTCACACCGGCTTCATTGTATACTTTAAAGACTTTCTCAATGGCATTGACATATGCAGCTGTTCTCAGGTCCAATCCCAGGTTATATTTCATGGCTGTGCGCATAATTTGCTGAAATGAAAAAGTAAATGCAGTAAGACCACTTCAAGTAGCTGGGCCATGAACAAACAAACTGGACCTGGTAAGAGTTTTCCTGTTACCATTTCGGGGCAGAACTTGGGCAGCCAAAGACAAACTACTACGGCAGTAGAACAACATCTAGGTAGGAAAGACTAATTCTCTGAAATAAAAATGATTACAGTCTAGGCAGTAGTGAGAGCCCTTTAGACATCCTGTTATTGGCAAATTCATTTGATGTACTTTCTGGTTGTTTAAAAGAACTAACAATGGGGCGATGAGAATGCTTTAGAATTACGTAATGATGATGGCTACACAACCTTGTGAATATAGTAAAGGCTGCTAAATTGCATACTTTAAGAGGATAAATTTATGGTATGTCCATTATATCTCAGTAAGAAATTACTAACAACAGAACAACAATAAGAAGTACTACCTTCATCACTATCTGTTCATGCTATTTCAACTTAAATCTAAGTGGAGGAAATTAGGAAAACTGGACTCAAACTGTGTTTAAAGGTTCTAAAGTAGGAATTTAGTGGTCAAAATAACTTTTTTTTTGAGTGGAGTCTTACTTTATTGCTCAGGCTGGAATGCAGAGGTGCATTCACAGCTACCGCAACTTCGACCTGCTGGGCTCAGATAATCACCATGCCACCACACCTGGCTAATTTTTTGACTTACTGTATAGATGAGGTCTCGAACCTCTGGGCTCAGGCAATCCTCTCACCTCCTCCTCCCAAAGTGCTGATATTACAAGCATGAGCCACTATGCCCAGCCCCAAATTACTTTTTTTTAAAAGCAGGATTTATTGAGAGGACAGAAAAGCGCCCACAGTGGGAAAGGACCAAAGGGGGTTGCCCCAATAACTTTTAATTGTACCAAATTCTATAGTAAGGTGGTCACTATAACATACTGGCAGACCAAACTGCAATAAGCTTGGCTGACTACTTGATACTTGGCTAAGTGCCAACATCACTCCCTCCTAACTTGGCATTACTATTTATTTTCAAAGTCTGGTAAACACATTTGACAGCTCTGAAAAAAACTGCTCATTATCTGAGGCTGAAAAAGCATGTGTTCTGCTACACATAAATGAGGATCATTTAACATATTGCTATTTTCTGTCAGTACACACAGTATGATGGCTGAGATAACATGGTTGGAGTTGTACTTCATGCGAGTAGCAGAAATGCAAAAAGCATCGGCACACGTACCCTGGCAGAACGCTCCATCGTGTACGCCAAGCCAGAGTGTACAATGTCTTTCTCAGATGCACCCTATTAGGAAAAAGTACACAAGTTTAACAAAATTATACAAAGACATACTTTGTATAAGATTACAAAGGATTCTTGAGTAAATATGCAAACAGAATGGTTTTGTCTTTCAGTAAAGATATATATATAATTTATGTACAGTATCAAGACACAGTATCTTGATATTTATTTTTTTTCCACATTAGACAGGTAACAAGGTTTGAGGGAGGACATTTCACACATGAGCCTGAAAATCCAATTATCACACTTATAAACTACACAAGGCTCTTGATACTTATTGAGGTAGTTGCTCTTTAACCACAATTTAGTTTTATATTTCACAGCTAACAAACATTCATGAAGTAAGATAACAGTAAAACAACGAACAGAGAAAAGTACTGAGCAAGAAACACGAGGGCAAGTAGTGAGATAAGCACCCTTTAGTGGTTTGAGATAACAGTCACAATGAAGCAACAAGGCATGATGCCCTCATTCACTGAAGTTCCTCAGGTGATCAAGGATACCAGACAGTACACAGAAAGGAATCTGGTTAATTCTAACAACAGCTCTTGGGCAGAATTCTGTCTGTGTATTCAGTAGTACCATCAATTTTTTTTTTTCTTGAGTCAAAGTCTCACTCTGTTCCCCAAGCTGGAGTATGGTGGCACATTCATGGCCACTGCATCCTCGACCAGCTGGGCTTCCAAGTAGCTGAAACTACAGGCATAGGCCACCACACCCTGCTAATTTTTAAATTTATTGTAGAGACGAGGTCTCGCCAAGTTGCCCAAGCTTGTCTTGATGCTGTGGGCTCAGGCAATTCTCTTGCTTCCACTTCCCAAAGTGCTGGATTACAGGCGTGAGCCACTGCGCCCGGCTGTACCGTCAATTTTTAAGGTTGCATGAATCTTAGCAGCTCTTTTACTGACAAAAAAACAAGGACTAGAGAAGTTTGCCAAGGCTATGGATAGCTAGGATATAACCCAGAGCCTCCACAATCAGGTCAGCTTATCTCTGCCCTATGTCAATTCTATCAAATTTGTTTCTTGAAATGCTTTCTAAAAAATTAAGATAATTGTCAGCCAGGTGCAGTGGTTACACCTGTAATCCCAGCACTTTGGGAGGCCGAGGCAAGAAGATTGCCTGAGTCCAGGGATTTGAGACCTGCCTGGGCAACTTGGCAAGACCATGTCTCTACAATAAATAAAAAAATTAGACGAGCATGGTGGTGCACACCTGTAGTTCCAATTACTTGGAAGGCTGAGGTAGAAGGATTGCCTGAGCCCAGCACATCAAAGTTGCAGTGGCCGTGAGTGTGCCACTGCACTCCACCCTGTGCGACAGTGAGACTCCTACTTAAAAAAGAAATAGGCTGGGCGTGGTGGCTCTTGCCTGTAATCTTGGCATGTAGGGAGGATGGGAGAATTGCTGGAACTCAGCCTGGGCAACATAGCGAGACCTTGTCTCTACAAAAAGTAAAAAAATAAAAAAGATAGCTGGGCATGATGGTGTGTACCTGTAGTCCCAGCTACTTGGGAGGCTAAGGTGGAAGGATCACCTGAGCCCAGGAGGTTGAGGCTGTGGAGAGCAATGATCATGCCACTGTACTCTAACCAGGGCAAAAAAAAAAAAAAAAAAAAACCTAAATAAATAAATGAAACATTTGGGTTAAACTTTGTTTTGTTCTATCAATTTGGGAAGAGGAAACACATTTGTTTTGCAGGTAGACTACTGCTGTTTCTTCCATTCACTCACACAGCAAACATTTATTATCAGGTACTGGGGACATAGAGGACAAAATTAAAATTCCATTCTCATAGCAGGAGGAGAGGCTAAGTACATCACAAAAGTTTTGTTTTTTAAAATTTTAGATTCAGGAGGTACATGTACAAGTTGTTACATGTATATATTGTGTGATAGTGCCATTTGGGCTTCTATTGAACACATCACCCAAATAGTTAACGTGGTACCTAATAGGTAGTTTCATCCCTTTCCCTACCTCCTTTAGAAGTGCCCAGTGTCTATTGTCCCATCTTTTTGTATGTGTGTACCCTGTGTTTAGCTCCCACTTATAAGTAAAAAACATGCAGTATTTGGTTTTCTGTTTTTGTTTTAATGCGTGTACGATAATAGCCTCAAGCTGCATCCATGCTGCTGCAAAGATCACCAAAGCTTTTAGATGAGATAGAGAAGTGGTTCAGGGCCTGAGACTTTCCAATGTGAAGAGGGTGTAGAGATGAAGAGGTAGCAGCAAAAGGCAATGAGAAGAAATGGTCAGTGAGGCAGGAAGAAAACCACGAGAATGTGGTATCCTAGATGCTAAGGGAAATAACGATTTCAAGAGGGGAGTGATAAATTGTGACAAGAGCTGCTGATAGGTCAAGTAGTAGAGGACTGAAGAATGACCCTTGATTTGACAATGCCGCTGGCTATCTAGATAAGATCAGTTTTGATGGAGTAGGTTCAAATACAGAATTAGAGATTGAGTACATACAGCTGTTTCAAGGAGTTTTGCTTTAAAGTAGTGGTCCCCAATCTTTCTGGCATCAGGAACCAGTTTCATGAAAGACAATTTTGCCATGGACAGAGTGAGGGATGGTTTCAGGATGATTCAAGTGCATAACATTTATTGTGCACTTTATTTCTCTTATTATTACATTGTAATATATAATGAAATAATTATACAACTCATTAAAAAAAGGCATGAATGGAAGTGGAAAATAAAATAATGGGCAGGCACCACTGATCTGACAGGAAGTGGAGCTTGCCTGCTGCTGTGTGGCCCAGTTCCTAACTGGTCATGGACTGCTACAGGTCTGTGGCCTAGGGGTTGGGGACTCCTGCTTAAAGGGAAACATAAGTGGAAACATAAATGGCAATCCCTGGAAGGGAAGTGGGATTAAGATCTGTATTTTTTTAAAAGAGCATTTAGTAGGCTGAGCATGATTCAGGAGAAGGAAAAGTGATGACGCAGGAAGAGAGAGGGAAGACTTGCTAGAGTAGTGTATCTGAGAGGTTGAGGACAAGCCATCCACTGCTCACAACAACTTGGCTTAGCTGGGCATGGTGGCTCACGCCTGTAAACCCAGTACTTTGGGAGGCCGGCAAGTGGATTGCCTCAGCCCATGGGTTCGAGACCAGCCCAGACAACTTGGCAAGACTTTGTCTTTACAATATATCAAAAATGGTAGCATGCACCTGAAGTTCCGGCTACTTGGAAGGCTGAGGCAGAGGGATTGCCTGAGCCCAGCAGGTTGATGCTAGGGTGGCCGTGAGCGTGCCATTGCACTCCAGCCTGGGAGACAGAGTGAGACTCCAACTCAAAAAAATAAAAATAAAAATAAATCAATAAATACGCTGGGCGTGGTGGTGCATGACTGTAGTTTACAGCAACAAAGGCTGAGCTGGAAGGACAGCCTGACCCCAGCAAGTTGAGGCTATGGCGGCCATGAGCATGCCACTACACTCCAGCCTGGGCAACACAGTGAGACTCTGATTTAAAAAACAAAACAAAATACAAATAAAACTTGGCCTAGAAATGGAAACATGGTTTCATCTGAGTGACAGCTGTGTGCGGCATGGGATGACCAAAGCGGGCAAACAGCCCTCTAACAATGGCAGCAGCAAGTCCTTCTAATGTGCTGCAAGTTACTTGTAGTGGATGTATGTATGAAATTCTGATATGTAGAGTGAACTTTCAGAGAAGGCCACAGAGCTGCATCACACGTAAGCAGGAAAGGGATCGGGGCATTCCAGATAGAAAGATCAGAACATAGATGTGGCTTTGGGAAAGAAGAAGGTTTACTGAGGGAGCAATTAGTACCCAGAGTGGCAATATATCTTTTCTCCTTTAAAATGAAATCTTTAACTTTTTCCCATGTTGTAATATCGTGTTAAATTCTTTTCCATGACTGAATATTTCTTTTTTTTTTTTTGAGCTGGAGTCTCACTCTGTCACCCAGGTTGGAGGGCAGTGGCATGCTCCTGGCCACCACAGCCTCGACCTGCTGGGCTCAGGGGGTCCTTCCGCCTCAGCCTTCCAAGTAGCTGGGACTACAGGAGTATACCACCGTGCCTGGCTAAGTTTTTGATTTATTGTAGAGATGAGGTCTCACCAAGTTGCCCAGGCTGGTTTCACCTTGGCCTCCCAAAGTGCTGAGATTATAGGTGTGAGTCACCACAGCTGGCCTTCAATTCTTTCTATTTCTCTCAAGCTTAAAAGAATCAAAACACACGCTAATTATCTGCTGGGTGTGATGGTGCAGGCCTATAATTCCAGCTACTTGGGAGGATCACTTGATCCCAGGAGTTTGAGATTAGACTGGGTAACAGAGTGAAACAAACTCACCTCTAAAAAACAACAAAATCCCCCATAATAATTCTTAATGATTATGTCAGAATCACTGTTAAGACATTTTTGCATTGTAAAAGTACCAAAAACAGAACTCTTATTTATTTTAAATCTATTATTAGTCACTAGGATTTTTACTCCAGTTTGTTTATCTGTTTATTTATTTAGTCATAATCTCACTCTGTCGCCCACACTGGAGTGCAGTGGCACCCTCACAGTCATTGCAACCTTGACCTGCTGGGCTCAGGAGATCCTTCCACCTCAGTCTTCCAAGTAACTGGAACAACAGGCACGCACCACCACGCCCAACTACTTTTTTGATATATTATAGAGATAAGATCTCATGAAGTTGCCCAGGCTGGTCTCGAACCCATGGACTCAGGCAATCTCCTGCCTTTGCCTCCCAAAGTGCTGGGATTACAGGCATGAGTCACTGCACCAGGCCTCTTACTCTAGTTTCAGGACATAAAGAAAGGGGAAGGGGCCGGGCTCGGTGGCTCAGCCTATAATCCCGTGCCTTTGGGAGGCTGAGGTAAGTGGATTGCCTGAGCCCACGGGTTCGAGACCCGCCTGGGCAGCGAGACCTCATCTCTACAATAAATCAAAAAATCAGCTGGGCGTGGTAGCGCATGCCTGTAATTCCCGGCTACTTGGAAGGCTGAGGCGGAAGGATCACCGGAGCCCAGCAGGTCAAGGCTGTGGTGGCCGGGAGCGGCCACTGCCCTCCGGTCTGGGCGACACAGTGAGACTCCAACTAAAAAAAAAAAAAAGAAAAAAAGAAAGGGGAAGGTACAAAACACATGTCATACAATTACTGTCATGCTGATTATCACCCCTCGGCTCAAATCAACCCACCAGGTTCTGTCTGAAGGAAAAAGCAGGAATTTCATGTAAAGTCCAACTCTGGGGTTGCCACACTCACCGATATCCTGTCTTGGAACTCTGCTGTGGGTACAACGGGAATAGTTCCACCGTGCTTTCCAAATTTTCTTTCTAAACTCTCTTGAACAGACACTATAAAATAAACCAAGAGATCAAAATAAGATATTGCTAATAGAAAACAAAGTGAAGTAGAACCGAAAGTAGCCTCAAACTATATCTGTAACCCAAAAACTAACACAAAGTATTAAAAATCTTCAACACTAATGATATAATAGGGTTAATCATTTAAAACTCAGTTAAATAGGAATAAAACACTGGCCAATTTCCTATATCAATGTGAATTTAGGTCACTGCTCTGTTTCCATAACACCCATTACCAGGGTTTTGCTTTGGCTCTGTTAAAAAGAAAATGCTTAGGGAAAAAGAAAAGGAAATAGAAGGAACACTTCACCCAGATTCTCAGAGTGGGCTGAGCACAGAAACTCAGTTGGAGGTCTTGGTCTTATTTCAGCTTGATGAGAAATTCTACTCTTAATTGTGGCGCTTACTCTAGTCAAAGAAAAACAAGTATTCTCATCAGAAGACTTAAAAAATTCTTATACTAGATAGGTCTTCACTAAGAGCAACCAGAGACAGAAATGGGTGTGTATCAACAATGGAGTTCATGCTTTAAAATCACAGTTTTTATAGTATTAATAACTTGTAAATTATGTTCTGGGAACATTACATCATAGACTAAAAATCTGAAACAAGCATATTTTGGAGTTAATACACTGAATATTCATTAAAAATTGAATATTTTTGGTCTAAGTCTAATCTCTATGATTAACAAAGGGAAAAGTACTACTCAGGCAATTCTCTTGCCTCTGCCTTCCAAAGTGCTGGAATTACAGGTGAGCCACCATGTCCAGATTTCAAGTGTATCTTTTCCCAGGCTTTTAGCTAGACCAAAAGATTAGTTCTGGAAAATAAGATTATTGGAACTCACTGAGCAAATGGTAATTGGAATCTCTTTCATATTTGAAGGTCAAACGGCCATAGCTGACATGATTTAGATTCTTCAACCATTCAAAGTAAGATACTGTCACTCCTCCAGCATTCAAGTAGAGATCCTATATACAAAAATGTGACAGGAAGACACCAAAGAAATTAAAAGATGAACCTAAGAACTCAATATTAATATCAAGCTTGACTGAATTTCACATATTCAAAAATATCTTAGATAGTAGCTGGAACCACAGGTATGTACCACCACACCCGGCTAACTTTTTTATTTATTGTAGACATGACGTCTCACCAAATAGCCCAGGCTGGTCCTGAACCCCCTGGACTCAGGCAATCCTCTTGCCTCTGCATCTGAAAGTGCTGGGATTACAGGTGTGAGCCACGACACCCAGTAGTATCAGGCTGCTAATTTAACATCTCCCCGCTTCTCAATTCATCTAAAGTTTTTTCCATTTAGGAAAAAGAACCAATTTTTTTTGGCTTACTAATCAAGTATTTGATCAACTTTGGTTAGAGCCTTTTCTCTACCCTAAGTTTTCAGCCTAAGTTGCTTGCCTACCAACCACTGGATTGGACTGTCCATAGGGTATCTTACCAGAAGATTAGCACCCTTCTCCCGTTGCCTAACGAGTGTCTATTTCAGTTATATTAAATGTCTTAAGTGCTTTCAGCAAAGGGATTCTTAAAAATGCATCCCAAGCCCACACTAACTTACAGTAACCTTTTGGTGTAGACCTACGTTCAGTGTTACCTGCTAAAGAACATGAGCATGAGGTTCCTCTTACTAGCTTTCTGATTCAACCAGTAAGGAACACTTAAAATACATAAGGTTAGGAACCACATAGAAAATCTTAAGAGTTTGATACAATAGTGTTTCTAGCACAATATACATTTATATAACCAGACTCTTAGGAGGCTAACTACATACTCAAGAAAAAGGCTGAAGTAGGAATAAGTGCTCAGGTCAAAGTGAAAAGTGACAAGTTTATTATATTAGCCATGCGTCTGTTTTTTCTTTCTTTCTTTTTTTTTTGAGTTGGAGTCTCACTCTGTTGCCCAGACTGGAGTGCAGTGGCCGCTCCCGGCCACCGCAGCCTCAACCTGCTGGGCTCTGGCGATCCTTCCACCTCAGCCTTCCAAGTAACTGGAACTACAGGTGTGCGCTACCACACCCGGCTATGTTTTCCTTTTCTTTTTGAGTTGGAGTCTCGCTCTGTTGCCCAGGCTGGAGTGCACTGGCACAATCACAGCTCACCACAGTCTCAAATTCCTGAGATCAAGCAATCCTCCTGTCTCAGCCTCCTGAGTAGCTGGGTGTGCCACTATGTCTGGCTTTTTTTTTTGTAGCGAGAAGGTCTTGCTGCATTGCCTAGGCTGGTATTGAACTGCTGGGCTCAAGCAATCCTTCTGCTTTGGCCTCCCAAAGTGCTGGGATTACAGGTATGAGACACTGTACCTGGCCCTACTATATTTTGTTTTTTTTTTTTTTTTTTTTTTTTTTTTTGAGTTGGAGTCTCACTCTGTCGCCCAGACTGGAGTGTGGTGGCTGCTCCTGGCCACTGCAGCCTCGACCTGCTGGGCTCCAGCAATCCTTCCGCCTCAGTCTTCCAAGTAGCTGGAACTACAGGCGCGTGCTACCACGCCCGGCTGATTTTTTGATTTACTGAAGAGATGAGGTCTCGCCAAGTTGCCCAGGCAGGTCTCGAACCCGCGGACTCAGGCAATCCACTCACCTCAGCCTCCCAAGGCGCAGGATTACAGGCTGAGCCACCAAGCCCGGCTCTATATTTTCTTTCTTTTTTTTTTTTTTGAGTTGGAGTCTCACTCTGTCGCCCAGACTGGAGTGCAGTGGCCGCTCCCGGCCACAGCAGGCTCGACCTGGTGGGCTCCGGCGATTCTTCCACCTCAGCCTTCCAAGAGCTGGAACTACAGGCGCGCACTACCACGCCCGGCTAATCTATATTTTCTTAAAAGCAAAAATAAAGATGAAGAATTCACTACAGCTTCAGAGACTCAAAATTTCTCTCTTCCTTTCAACTCCTTGCAAAAGACAATTAGGACTTCAAGTACATATAAAGTCTGATAAACACAGATGACTTACTGGAATAACCATAATGTTCCTCTCCAGGAAGATCTTATCAGCTTCTGGAGTTGTTGGCCCATTGGCACCTTCAGCAATGATCTGTAAGAGAGTCAGGAACATAGAGAAATGCCAACAACACCGTCAAATCCCCTCCACTGAGGGTAAGAGATGTGCGTATATGAACAGAGGGCTGTGGGGAGAAGCATAATATCAGTTAAAATTAAATTAATAACGGTTTTTTGCTCTACAAAGTATATAAGATTACTTTTTACCTCTCTGTTTCCCTATTTTTCTTAACTACTTTTTGGAAGTTTGGTTTCAGAGGAAACCCACGGTAATGGTTATATAACTCTGAATAGACTAAAATCCATCAAATTGTATATTTTAAGTAAGTGAACTATACAGTACACAAATTATATGCCAAAAAGCTGTTACAAAAAGAGAAGAAACTCAGATTTTTCTATGCCTACCCTACCACCAATGTCATTCACATGGATATTGTTGGTTCTGGTTGCTATGATGCTTTCACCTTGGCTTTGACTCTGGGTGCGTTGGATTTGGTCAACTGCTTCTCACTGGCAGCTGGGATCAGTATGTCACAGTCAGCCTCCAAGATGCTTCCTTCATAGGGCTTTGCCTTGGGGAAGCCCAGAATGGATCCATGTTGCTGTAATTGATTGAAAATCAGAATTAATGGCTCTACCAGCATTTAAATGTTTACATTTAGTGCCTATGTGATAAAAATATATCAAGAGTTCTTTAGCTACATTTAAACAATGAAAGTAGATTTAAAACAAGACTTATTTCAACTTTACAAGGCTCAGGATGATCAAATTCATCAGATAACAGATTAACACACCAATTTGAAGTCTTCCAGTTCCTTCGGGTCAATACCATCTGGATTCCATATACTCCCATCAGATTCACCAACACCAACACATTTAGCACCAAAACGATGTAAATATCTCATAGAGTGCAGGCCCACATTACCAAATCCCTGTGAAGAATAATTATACAAGACACAAATATTAAAGTCTTTGTGCAAATAGTAAGTCATGTTTTGACCAATGTAAATCCACATTCTGTTAGTTTAGAAGCAATTCTCAAAAGCCTTTGCCAAAAGAAACAGTGTACTAATTGGCTTCTTACGAATAATAAAACTCTGTGTTTAAGAATGTGGAACCAGCCCTTTATTATCTGTAATGAGTCTTCAAGAGGTTTACTTTAGCTTATAAAAAAATGGCAGTGGTGTTAGCCACACAATAAGGTCCTCAGTCCTTGATGATGAGATATGCTATGGTTATAAAAAGGCAATTTGAAGGAATACAAATTCTATTTTAATGTTCAACTTAATTCAGATTCTTCTAGTGAAATACACGTTAATACAGCAAACAAGTTTGGATCAACAAGCAGATCTTTCTGTATACTCATAACACTTTTAGGAAATTATGTTAAGAGATCTTCCTTTCTGGATACAATTTCAAGTTTGAATTTAAGAAATTCTTAAATCAGTTCTAGTTCTCTTACCAAAGTTCAAAAAAATAAAGACTACATTACTCTAAAAACAACCACTCTAAAATTTAGAAGATTCAAAATAACTACATTTTAAAATTGCAATTCTAAAGACATTAAAAAACGTAATGTCATCAGATACGAAGAAAATAAATCTTTTCTTACCTGAACAACAAATGTTTTATCTCCAAACCCTGGTGTCATTCCTAAAATGCTCATGTAAGACGCTTCATTGATGAAATTTTCAATCCCATGGAAAACGCCCCGGCCAGTAGCAGAGATGCGCCCGTGGATGCCTCCTTGACTGATGGGTTTACCAGTAACACAGGCATGTGCATTAATATCCTGTATGAGGGAGCCATAATTTAAAGAGTGAAATGTAAAGTCTAATGTCTATGATGAATCAGTATAATAACTTAAAGTCAAAGCACATTCTCACTGAACTAAAAATAAGCTCACTAGGAGTGTGTATATGTGCGTGAGTATGTTTAAGGTAGACGTTCACCAATAAATACATGTCTCACTTTTTCAGCTTTCCATAGAAATAATTTCCATAGAAATTATACAATGGAAGAGTTTGGGAATCTGGAATCAAGTAAGTACAAATAGCAACACTATAAAAGTAGACATAGTTCAGCTTAAAGCAATTATTACTTCAAATATTTAAAACTTATCAAGTCAGGGTACACTCATGTAAGTATTTTTAAACCTACTATAAGATTTCAACATGTCACCAAAATACAGCGTGAGACAGGAAGTGGCATTAAAATGTTCTCAGTTGGGAAGACTCAATGTTACTCTGCCAAACTAATCTAGAAACTCAATAAAATCAGACTTTTTAAAAGAAATTTTAAAAGACTTTACTCAAGTTCATCTACATGAGTGAATTAACAAAAATACTCAAGGAATTAAAAAACAAAAGGCACATGTGAGCAAGACAGAGTTCTGTGATTATGTGTGACAGAATACCCTTGGTAGCAGTAGCTACCTCTGCGACATGGAGATGGGGGTTAACAGTCTTCACCACCCATCTTTCTGTTCTCTTTGAATTGAGGATGTGCCTATATTCTTGTTTAGAAACAAGCAAATTTACAAAAAAAAAAAAAAAAAAAGAAGCAGAACGGGAGCTTGGAAGAACGTCCATTCCAAAGCATCAAATATATTATAAACATGCAATAAGAACACTACAGAATAAACAAATCACTCAGTGGAACAGAGAAACTAGAGAGGTTTTTTTTTTTCTTTTTCTTGAGACAAGGTCTTACTCTGTTACCCAGGCTGGAGTGCAGTAGTGCAATCACAGTTCCCTGTAGCTTCAGCCTCCTGGGCTCAAATAATCCCTCACCTCAGCCTCCTGCATAGCTGGGAATGTGTGTGTGCCACCACGCCTAACTAGGAGACGAAGTCTCATTATGTTGCCCAGGCTAGTCTCAAATTCCTGGGCTCAAGCAATCCTTCTACCTCGGCCTCCCAAAGTGCTGGGATTATAGGCATGAGCCACCATGCCCAGCCAAGACAGTCTTATTATATGCAGGAAATCAATATAAAATGAAAACCAATATAAAATTTTAAATCAGTGACAAGTATGAGCTATTCAATAAACTTGTTGAAGCAATTTGCTACTCATGTAAACAAGATTAAGAGCTTCACTTCACACCATATCTCTAACCCTTGCTGTCATATCCCTATGTTCCAGCTGGGTGAGTTAAAAAGTGACCTGTATTGCTTAAATATTTTTACGGAGAACATAGAATTCTATTTCTTGTAACTGCCAACAAAGAATGGAAGCAAGTAAAAAGTAGTCTAGTAAAATGATTTATAGAATTAGTAGTTTTCCCACAGTTAGCATTCATGAATAATTAACACTTATGAATACAGAATTGTAAACTGAGTGCCAAATGCTTTTGAACAGTGAAAATGCAAATGTTGGAGCTGAAGGAAATACTGTCTGAGGTCAGGCCTGGTGCCAACTGCCAGGCTCCCCAGCATACCTAATGGTCTTGGAAGCCCAGGGGAGAACACACTCTCCCACCACCAACATACTTCTAGGTGGGGCTAGACAAAGGGAGCTGCATGATTCCAGTTCCTATCAAGAAGTAAGTAATAAGAACTATGGCCTCCTTACCATAGGCCTTGATTTTGAATTTCTTATCACTTAAAGAAGAAAAACTTTTACCGGAGTAGTTCAAGGGTTAGGGGGCAGTGCCTCACAAAGCTTTCTTTTGCTGTGATCCTTGAGAACGAGCTATGAATAATAACACACAACCTACTAGTTTGCATTACTCAATCTAGTGTCTTGCTTAAAAAGAACATGAGACCACCATACCCAGAGCTCATTTAACACAAAAAGGTGACAGATGGCTAAGTGTCCTTATTGGGAATGGAAGTCAAACCATAATTCGTTGAAGGATCTAATACTGCTCCTGTTTTATTTCAGGGTAGTTGTATAATTTACCTGATATAATGCTAATACATATTTACGCTCTGATGCTTGCTAAGGGCTGTGTATTATTCTAAGTGCATGAGTCCATTATTCAACTAATTCTCATGACAATCTCTCAAGGTAGGTTCTATTATTAGAATCATTTTACATATGAGGAAACTGAGGCAGAGGCTCTCAGATTACAGAGCTGGTGGGGAAGGAGTCTGGGTTGGAATTCAGGTAGATAGTTCATGCTCCCAATCACAGCAAGACATCACCTCAGGAAATGTGCTCAAACTCACATTCTTCCTCTTCTCCAAGGCCCATTTTCCACTAGGGCCTTTAAAAGAAAAAGTTTCCCACACCTTTATTCCCTTGGAGTACTTTGCTATGTCTATCATCCTGCAACTATTCTGCACTGTCTATTTCTTGCACCAGTGAATCTGTGATCCACAGCCTCTCAAGCTGTATTCTTTCTGCTTTTTGCTGTGCCATTCTTCTTAGGTGGAGGCTACACCCCATATCCTACTTCCCTCTTCACATTCCTTTACAATCTGGGCCCTGGAATGGTCTCCGGCTCTCAATAATCCCATTCTCCAATGCACATAGTTGAGGTTCAAAATGCCCACTCGGCTGTGTCACACACATAGTTACAATAAGTTCTTCACTAGTTTCCCTCTGTTTTCAGGACAAGCACCTTCCTGTCACCTACCAGGCAGTTACGTGGCCTGACTCTCCTTTTACTAGTGTTTCTAACTTCCCTCCACTTTCTCGACTCTGGCCACAACTGTCATCCCTTAGCCTTGCATCCCGAGTTCACTCTGCTTATAAACTTCAGAACCCTTACCCAGATGCTTTCTTCTGCCTCCAAAACACTTGCCATCAAAACTTCCCCTGGTCCATGTCCACATACCTTTCAGAATGCAGACCAGAAAGTTACATCTCCTAGGAAGCTTTTTCTGACTGTACCTCTGAAGACTTGGTCGGGTCCATTATTCTTCACAGCTTCAAAACAACTTACAGCATTTATCTCAATTGTAGCGAACACCTTGCTTATGCTTGGCCTTAAACATAGTAGGCATGCTATCTTTTCCAACTCCATTTTTCTTCCTACTCCTTATATGTTTTTTTTTTTGAGTCAGAGTCTCACTCTATCACCCAGGTTGGAGTGCAGTGGCATGCTCACAGCCACCATAGCCTTGACCCAATGGACTCAGGCGATCCTTCTGCTTCAGCCTCCCAAGTAGCTGGAACTACAGGCGTGAACCACCACGCCCAGCTAATTTTTTGATTTATTGTAGAGACAAGGTCTCACCATGTTTTCAGGCTGGTCTTGAACCCTTAAGCTCAGGCAACCCTCTTGCCTCAGCCTCCCAAAATGCTGGGATTCCAGGCATGAGCCACCGTGCCTGGCATGTTTCTGTTTTTCAAACCAAATGAACAGAAACACTAGGGCTTGGTATTTTTATCATTGCTCACTCCTTCACTCTTGTTTTCTATTACCTATATAAGTAAATATTCCTTACCTCCAGACAATTTGAGCACTGTTTTTCTTCCTCTTATCCCTCAAATCTCCAGATGTTCAAATTCTACCCATTTTCAAGGTCTAGCTCAAATATCTCTGAGAAAACCTTCTTTCAGGAACTCTTAACTCTCTACCCTTGCACTGCACTATTTCCATACGTTATCTGCTTATGTGTCTTAGTTCTTCTTCAAATGAAAGCTCTCTGAGGGAAAAGACAGTAATGAACGAATGCTTCTTGATTTATGTTCTAGTGTCTCAGCAGAATGCGCTGCCCTGATTGGTGAAGTGCCCAGTACAGGCAGCATGTAAGTAAAGGCTCCATCTGTGTTCACTACATTTACAGGTGAAGAAGAGAAACAGAGGTAATAATGTACACAACAAGATTATAACTGAAGAGGAGGAGGAGGAGAAAAACCCAGGGATTCTCAACTCTTTCGACTTCTCAAATAATCACTCCAATTGTTACTTCCTGTAGACAGCAAATTAAAAGTCTTGGGTCTCCCGGTGGGTACTCACATAGTGCCCTATGGTGCTAGCATAGGTGTCAGCTATCCAGGACATCTCTCGCTCGCCTGTGCTCATGTCCGGGGCAGGCACATCAATGCCAGGACCTGGGGGCACAGGGAAAGGGCAGTGCACCAGTTTTTTTACTCTTCTCAAACACAAAGATCTTTATAATTCTCTACAATAACAAAGTCACCATGACTAGAAAACTTTAGATCTCACTGAGGAAACTAATCAAAGTCAAATGTTTTACTACAAAACTTAGATACACACAACATTACAAGGTAATTTCTCCCACTAGCATTTACTTGCTGTTATGTTTGCACAAGACATAAGCCACTCCATAGGATTTCTGAGTGTGTGACCACAGGCTAATCAGTTTAGCCTCTCCTGACCTCAGTTCCCTAAATTGCAATTAGAGTTAGCAGTACCATCTTGCCCTAAATAAGCAGGATTATTATGGTTAGGGAATATATGTGTATGGGACAGTATAGTCATATGCTGCTTTGAGGGGTGTAAGCCCTCCTTACCAAGTAGAAAATGAGAGTAGAAAGTCACACTGCTGAAGTAACCTTGTTAAGCCCCATAATGCTTTTACTTGTGCAAGAATATTGCTCTGACCTATTATTCAACACTTTACATATACAAAAAGTTTAAGGCCTTGGCTTTAAATCACAGCAAATTAAAAAGCTTGAGAATAATAAGAAGTTAGCTTAAAGGCAGCAACAGATACCACTGACAGCACTAATACTGATGGCCACAATGAGATCTCTAATAAAATGTGTTAAATGATACTTACTCAAATCTGTAAAGGCACAGAAATACTCCTCTCAAAAATGATAAAAATAAAACAACTTAATTATCTAGCATGTCAATTAAATGAAATATGGTATACCTGTAAAAAGAAGTACTAAACCACCATTAAAAAGGATGACTTATATCCATGTAAATTACTTGAAATCACCAAAACATACATGTAGAAAAAGGCAGGTTTCATAAAACATGTATAATATATAATATGTTCCCATTTACATAAAATTCTTTCTTTCCCTCTTTTCCCTCTCTCTATTGCTTTTGTGTGTGTGTGTATGTGTGTATGAGTTGGAGTCTCACTCTGTCGCCCACTCTGTCTGAGTGCAGTGGCATGCTCACAGCCACCAAAGCCTCGACCTGCTGGGCTCATGTGATCCTTCCGCCTCAGTCTTCTAAGTAGCTGGAACTACAGGCATGTACTGTCACGCCCGATTACTTTTTTGATTTATTGTAGAGATGAGGGTCTTACCCAGTTGTCTAGGCTGGTCTTGAACCTGTGGGCTCACGTAATCCTCTCACCTCAGTCTCCCAAAGTGCTGGGATTATAGGTGTGAGCCACCGTGCCCGGCCCCTCTATTTCTATCTATACACCTATAAATATGTATGCAGAGGTTTAGGAGGATACATACAAACTTATTCACTGTGTATTCTCTGGATTTCAGCCTTATTTATAACCTTATTATTTCAATTTTATACTATGAGTTCATTTCTTTATTAAAAAACACAATTCTAAAAATGATTAAGGTATTAAGTCTCCTCAGAACATAAAGTTCTAAGGGCTGTACTTAAGTTTTTCCTATAATTTTTACTTTTTAGCCAACAGAATAGGTATATTTTATTGCTTTTCTCCAATTCAGGGACCCAGATCTTGCATAATATACTTCTTTGAATAACTTGGGTAAACTGGCTTAAGGAATGGCATAGGGCTGGCCTAAAATAACTTTGAAATAGTCCAGGTCTGCTTTTTATATTCCCATTCTCCCATCCTCCACTCCATCTGTAACTCTCCTAAGTTTTAGCACCCTTTCCTTCAGTTACCTTATAAATCTCATTAAGTCTAACCTGCCCTCACCCCACACAACACTCTTACTTGGAAGGATTAATGCCATATTCTAGCCTCCCTCATCCACCTACAAAAGGGCTCTAGCACTCCTATTTGCTTACTTTCCATTCCTTTAGAGTAACATACCTCTGCTGGAGGTCAGTACAACCTTGTTTAAATGTATTCCTTTTCTCAAGCCTGGCCCAGTGGCTCATGCCTGTAATCCCAGCACTTTGGGAAACAGTGGAAGGAAGACTCTTGAGTCCAGAAGTTTGAGACCAGCCTGGGCAACACAGTGAGAACTCATCTCCACAAAGTGGAGGTGGGAGGATCTCTTGAGGCCAGGAGTTCAAGGCTGTGGTGAGCTATGACTGTGTCACTGCACTTCAGACTGGGTGATAGACTGAGACCCCGACTTAAAAATTTCTTTTTCTCCCAAGGCACAAATGAAAAATTGCTCCTGAGTCCTTCTAGATGTATCTATAAAAGAGTTATGCTTGTTTTTAGGAACATTAAGGGTTAAATGAGCTTGTTGTCTCAAATGACAAGTCCAATTAGAGAAGGGCTTTAGTGAGTAACAAGTCTGAGGTGCCTAGTTTGTAAATTAGAAACATAATGATAAATGTTTTCTCAAAAACATCAGTCTAAACATGCTAAAGGTGAAATAGCTTCCCCCACCCCAACAAAAATCACAAAGTATCAATTATTAGATTTATTAGTTTTTTACTCCATATAAAATCAACGTACAGGGATGCACAGATTATAAGTAATTCCTGAAATTCCTGAATAACATAAATTCTCAAATATATGGAGAACAAGTCTGAGACAGAAGACCATCTTTATTTAAAAAGCAACTGCTCTAATAAAATATAAGAATAGGTTAAGAGCTAAAAGTATTTTTGGTGCATGGAGATTCAGGAACATGAGAAGGGTGGAGACATCAGGGACCTGTAGGAGAACTTTATAGTTTACAAAGGGAGTATCTAAACTCATACAAAAGAATTAACATCAACATTTCAAAAGCTTTTCCAAAAACACAAGAGGAAGGAACATTTACCAACTCACTCTATGAGGTCAGTATTAGCCTGTTATAAAGACTGGACCAAGACATTACAAGAGAACTACATACCAACATCCCTTACAACAGCAAAAAGAGGAATAAAATACTTAATTGTAAGTCTTCTACACTGACAACTATAAAACATCATTGAAAAAAAAAAATCAAAGAAACCTAAATAAATGGAAAGACATCCCATATTCAAGATCAGAAGATTTCATATGACTGAGATAGAAATAGTCCAAAAATCAGTCTGCAGATTCAATGTAATCCCTATAAAAATCCTAGCTCCTTTTTCTTTTTTTGCAGAACATTCACAAGCTGACCTTATACTGACACAATATGACAGGGTCAGAGCTCAGACTCAGTTCTGAGCCTCACCCTGAAACTCTCTGTGGAAAGGGAAGTCAGAAAATAACATAAGTGACATCAATGTTGAAGCTTTGCCTAAGTGAGAGAAAATACCCTTTCTGCTCTTAGGCTACAAAGTGTTCTGGGCCCAGGCATCAGTGAAGCTGCATCATAGGTTAACGAGGCATTTGCACACAAGTAAAGAAATCAAATTACAGCCAGGAACAGTGGCTCATGCCTGTAATCCCAGCACTTTGACAGGTGGAGGCAAGAGGATTGCCTGAGTCCAGGGTACAAGACCAGCCTGGGCAACTTCGTGAAACCTCATTTCTACAATAAAAATAAAAAAATTAGCCAGCATAATGGCATGTGCATGCAGTTCCAGCTACCTGGAGACTGAGGCAGAAGGATTGCCTGAACCCAGTGGGCCGAGGTTGCAGTGATCGTAAGTGTACTACTGTACCCCAGCCTGGGTGACAAAGCGAGACTCCCATTCAAGGGAAAAAAAAAATTACTACTATCTAAGCTTTGCTTTCTTTCAGTGTTCTAATGAACCACTTTTTAATCTTTGGAATAATAAGCTACTTGTCAAGATCGATAAAGTTAAGCTGGAGACACTCGAGATACGGGCAGTAGGTATGAGCGAATAGTCTGAAACCATTCAAGATTATTAAATATGTCTGAGGTTTAAGTGACGAGGAAATATCATATAAAAAATTACAAGGTGCCGGGCTAGGTGGCTCAGCCTGTAATCCCGCGCCTTTGGGAGGCTGAGGTGAGTGGATTGCCTGAGCCCGCGGGTTCGAGACCCACCTGGGCAGTGAGACCTCATCTCTAAAATAAATCGAAAAATCAGCCGGGAGTGGTAGCGCACGTCTGTAATTCCGGCTACTTGGAAGGCTGAGGCAGAAGGATCGCCGGAGCCCAGCAGGCCAAGGCTGCGGTGGCCAGTAGCGGCCACTGCACTTCAGTCTGGGCGACAGAGTGAGACTCCAACTCAAAAAAAAAAAAAAATTACAAGGCTATTAACAGGCTAAACATGACTTCAAATCACCATATCTCAGAATTAGGAGGTATTCCTATAAAAGGGTGAGTGAAATAATTAACTCATGTTAACATGCCTCTGTGCAACAATACACAAGTTCACAGTAGTGCTGAACCCATGTCTTTTAAATGATGAAAAATAGGCCAAATCTAGGGAAGTTGTAGTGTTATCTATCTTACTTCTATATTAGGTTATTTATTTCACGTCTTTTTCCTAAAAATGGGGCAAAATTCAAAATATGAACAGCTTAATTTCATAGGAACTTGTCAATGGTGTGGGGGATGTTGGGGAAGAAAAACACAAGAGAAAGCAGAGAAATTCTCTTTCCTATTTAATAAATTTTTAATTTGTTTAATAATGTCAATAGGGCAAGTTTTCTATTAAGTAATTTTGTGTATTTTATTCAAATAAACTAGAAGCTTTCTAGACCAAGAAAAATATATAAAAAGACTTAAATTGTTTGAAAATTAAATGACAAATATTTATATATCATACAAAAGAATATTCAGATCTCATACGAAAGAATATATAAACACAGATAATCGGTATTAAGATTTAAAAAATCAAGCAAATGAAGAATAGTATCCTCACAAATTTAGTATGTTTTGCAAAAGATTCCACAAAATAGTAGGAGTCTCAGGAATTCTGAGTGATGGCGAAGTGAGCAATCATATTAGCTTTGCTGCCTGCTCCCACCACTTTATTTATTTATTTATTATTATAATTTTTTTTGAGGTGGAGTCCCACTCTATCACCCAGGCTGGAGTGCAGTGCAGTGGCACTCTCACAGCCACTGAAGCCTCAACCTGCTGGGCTCTGGCGATCCTTCCGCCTCAGCCTTCCAAGTAGCTGGAATTATAGGAGTGCGTTCCAACCACTTTAAAGGGACAGCTATGCCCATTTAAAACCTCCAGTTTCAAGATGCATCAGATTTCTCACTGTTTTAGGAATACTAGGACTGCTGTTGTAAAAACTGCTTTCACATATTTAAAAAAAAGAGTTAAAGCTGGGCTTGGTGGCTCAGCCTGTATCCCAGCACCTTTGGGAGGCTGAGGTGAATGGATTGCCTGAGTTCGCGGGTTCAAGACCTGCCTTGGCGGCGAGACTACACCTCTATAATAAATCAAAAAATCAGCCAGGCATGGTAGCGCATGCCTGTAATTTGGCTACTTGGAAGGCTGAGGAGGAAGGATTGCCGGAGCCCAGCAGGTTGAGGCTGTGGTGGCTGCGAGCGGCCACTGCACTCTAGTCTGGGCAACAGAGTGAGACTCCAACTCAAAAAAAAAAAAAAAAAAGAGTTAAAAAAATTTTTTTTGAGTTGGGGGTCTCACTCTGTTGTCCACCTGAGTACAGTGGCATACTCACGGTTCACCACAGTCTCGATCTTCTAGGCTCAGGTGATCCTTTCCTCTCAATCTCCTGAGCAGCTGGTACTACAGGCATGTACCACCATGACCAGCTACTTTTTAAATTTTTTTGTAGAGATGAGGTCTTGCTATGTTGCTCAGGCTGGTCCTGAACTCCTGGCCTCAAGCAATCCTTCTGCCTTGGCCTCTCAAAGTGCTGGTATTACTGTAGTGAGCCATCATGCCCGGCCAAAAAATATTTTACATTCAGATATTTAGTTCTCAAAAGTCTTTCTGAATGTTTCAGGTGAGAACGAACACTACTGCTATACTGATCAAAACCCTTAAGGGATTTTATACAGAAGAGGTGGAAAGCTTTCTTCCTGGTGTTCACATTGAACACTGAGAATCCGAATCTTTCTATTAGAGATGTGTCATGCACAGGCCTAGGTATGTTGATCAATCTGCCACAGAACCTAAATTCTCAAATAAAATGGCAACTCCATTCAGAAGCACATAGAGATAAAAGCAGGAGTTTAATTTAAAACAATTACATTCGGCTGGGCACGGTGGCTCAAGCCTGTAATCCCAGCACTTTGGGAGGCCAAGGTGAGGGGACTGCCTGAGCCCATGGGTTTGAGAACAGCCTGGGCAGTTTGGCGAGACCTCATCTCTACAATAAATCAAAAAACTAGCCAGGCGTGGTAGCACGCACCTGTAGTTCCGGCTACTTAGAAGGCTGAGGCGAAAAGATCACCTGAGCCCAGCAGGTCGATGCTGGGGTGGCCATGATGGTGCTACTGCACTCCAGCCTCAGTAATGGAGTGAGACAGACTCTAACTAAAAAAAAAAAAATTAATTTTTATGCGTTCCTATTTTATACAGAAATCTACATGGCAATACATACCAATAAAACCCTTCTTTGCTAGCTCCATGGTGAATCTCCTTGTGATCTTTTCCAATTCATTATCCTGTAAAGAAAAATAAAAGGAATATTTTCATATATCTTCTCATGTAATCCTTAGATCAACACAGAGTAGACATTTGTGAGTGAACAGGGATCAGAAATTAGGTTATAAAAACAAGACAGTAGAACTAGGGCTCAAATTCCAGTTCCTTTTGGTATTAATTTCCCATATTAAAAAAAGAGTAACTTTTAAGACTAATTGACAACTGATGTAATTATGTTAATATGGACCCACTGAGCCATCTCTGTGGCACATTTCCATTTATTTATTTATTTATTTTTTGAGTTGGAGTCTCAATCTGTCGCCCATGCTGGAGTGCGGTAGCACACTCATGGCCAACCAAGGATTGACCTGCTGGGCTCTGGTGATCCTACCTCCTCAGCCTTCCAAGTAGCCAGAACTATAGGTGCGCGTTAACACACTCAGCCAATTTTTTTGACTTATTGTAGGGATGACGTCTTGCCAAGTTGCCCAGGCTGGTCTCAAACCTACGGGCTCAGGCAATCCACTCAACTCAGTCTCCCAAAGTACTTGGATTACAGGCTGAGCCACCAAGCCCAGCCACAGTTCCATTTAAATGGTCAATTTTTTTGAGTCAGGGTTCTCATTCTGTTGCCCAGGGTGGAGTTCAGTGGTGCAGTCTTGACTTACTGCAGCCTCCACCCCTTGAGTTTAAGCTATCCTTCCGCCTCAGTCTCTAGAGTAGCTGTCACTACAAGCATGCGACACCACGTGCAGCTAATTTTCTTTCTTTCTTTTTTTGTAGAGAAGAGGGGATGACAGGTATGAGCCACCACACCCAGCCTAAATGGTGAATATATATATATTTTTTGAGTTGGAGTCTCATCTGTCACCCAGGCCGGGGTATAGTGGTATGTTCATGGCTACTGCAGCGCTGACCTCCTGGGCTCAGGCAATCCTTCTGCCTCAGCCTTCCAAGTAGTTGGGACTGCAGGCACATGCTACCATGCCTGGCTAATTTTTTGATTTATTGTAGAGATGAGATCTTGCCATGTTGCCCAGGCTGGTCTCAAACTCCTGGGCTCAGGCAATCTCTTGCCTCAGCCTCCCACAGGGCTGGGTTATAGGCGAAAGCCACTAAGCCCAGCTAAATGGTGAATTTTTAAGAGAATAAAATCATATGAATTTTTTATGTTTAATACAGTTCATTAAAGTCTGGAACTTATGTAAAGCATTGTAACAACTAGTATTAATTAACTGACAGGATAAAATGTAATATTTTTACTGAATTAGTTAAAATATATGTCACTGTAATGAGATCCTGACACAAAAACCTCAGATTGGTAATTTTTAAATATGGATACAGGTGCCTAACAATACCAAGGTATTAATTATCTTTTAACCAAGTAAGAAGATGAAAAAGGACATAGATGTTAAACAGGTAATCTTTTATATGGCAAAACACTCCATGAGTTAATTATTAATTGTTTTCCATTCCATTTGAAAACCAATGAGAACCATTAACCTCACTGTTATGGAGGATACACAGAAGTCTAGTAATTTCAAGTTCTGTGTAAATGTACCATGTACACAAATATCTTAATACTTACTGTATAGTTCTTGGGATTAATCTTAACACCAGCTTTAGCACCTCCAAATGGCACATCTGAAAGGGAAGACTGAAAGTTGTTATTCTATATAAAGTTTAAAAAAATAAAATGACAGGAAGCACCATGTAATGACAAAAATGTGTGACACTTTATGCTTGAATTTCAGAATATTCAAGATTACCCACAATGATTGCTGCTAAAATGTTGTATTACTTTATTTATTTATTTTTGAGTTGGAGTCTCACTCTTGTTGCCCAGGCTGAAATGCAGTGGTATGCTCACAGCCACTTCAGCCTCGACATGCTGGGCATAGGCAGCAGATGCACGTCATCACGCCCAGCTAGTTTTTGTGATTTATTGGAGAGAATGAGGTCTCACCAAGTTGCCCAGATTGGTCTTGAACCTCCAGGCTCAGGCAATCCTCTTGCCTCAGACTCCCAAAATGTTGAGATTATAGGCTGAGCCACCGTGCCTGGTCAAAATGTTGTATACTTTAAATAAAATTTTATTGAACAGAAATTTGTAACACAAGCCAAGTTATAATGTATATTTAATCAGTGCTCTTTACTTCTTTTAAAAGATAACATCCTATTTACTATCCTTCTAGTATTACTTGAATTTTTTTTTTTTAGTTGGAGTCTCACTCTGTCGTACAGGTTGAAGTGCAATGGCATGCTCATGGCCACTGCAGGCTTGACCTGCTGGGTTCAGGCAATACTTACTCCCCAGCCTTCCAAGTAGCTGGAAACACAGGCGCACGCCACCACACTTGGCTAATTATTTATTTATTTATTGTAGAGACAAGGTCTCACCAATTTGATCAGGCTGGTCTCGAACCCCTGGATTCAAGCAATTCTCTTGCCTTGGTCTCCCAAAGTGCTGGGATTACAGGATTGAGCCATCGTGGCCAGCTGATTTGAAATTATTTACAGAATAGGTTAAGGGATTTAAAATAAAGACGTACACTGAAAAGAAAATCCAATCAGCACCCATAAAAAACCCTCCCCTTAAAAAAAAAGATGAAAACTTAATCAAGACTAATTGAGAAATAATGCCAATTTTCAAGAGGTTAAAAAAATCACTTCCGATAAGATGTATTTCTATAGCATCTTAAAAGTAACCTTGTATGTAAACGTTGTTCCCTAAAAGAGTCCTTAGTAGCAACAAAGGTGATCACTTACCAACCACTGCACACTTATATGTCATCAGAGAAGCCAAAGCTTTTACTTCATCTACACTCACATCAGTGCTGTAACGGATACCTGGTAGTATTAAAAGAGACAGAGAGAGAGAGAGAGACAGAGAGAGAGAGAGAGAGAGAGAGAGAGAGAGAGAGAGAGAGAGAGAGAGAGAGAGAGAGACAAGATTTATTTAAAACAAACGTTTTTCATTTTTGTTTTGTCATCACATAGAACAAACTTAAGTTAAAAAAACCTACACAATATAAAAAGTTAAAAGGAAAAGCTGCTAGTAACAACAATGTTTTCACAAGACAAAAAGTACCCTGGAATGGATGTTTTTTACACTTTTCAGAAGGCAACTTATTCAGTGAAAGCTTTTTTATTTTCCCTTTTTGTGGTGGGACTGAACATATCTGGAATTGGTTTATAAAAAACTGTGTATGTTTAAACTGCAGTTACCTTCAAAGTACTCTCCATTTGATACACCTATCAAGACGCTTTTTCCCACTGCTTAAAAGTTTTTGAACTTGTCAATTTCAATGCTTCTGCCATTTTTTGTTCCACCTCTTCCACATTTGCAAAGGGACTTTTTTTTTCATCCCAGGAAACAAAAAAAAGTTGCTTGAGGCAAGATTAGGTGAATAGGGACAGTGGAGCATGGGGGCTCATGCCATATTTGGTCAAAAGCTGCTGAACACTCGGCACAGTGTGGGCAGGAGCACTGTCATGGTGGAAGAACAAGTCACCTGTTTGCCACAAAAAAATTCACTGAAGAAGCTGAATGCAGTCTCTCACAACAACAAAATCACTGGTCGAACACAGCCTCTTACAACAATGCTAGTTGGTACACTGATGCTGATGGGTTCCTAGAACATTTACCTAATGGGAAGGTCTGTATTATAAGAGGCCCACCCTCAAAAAGATGATTCTGGGTTTTCTGGGTCCCCTTTGTATTTTTTTTTTTTTTGGATGATTTGGTGGGAGCAGGGAGTTCAAAAATTCCGCTTTCTGACAATACACAAACACAGGCAATGGACAGTCATCAGACTTGAAATACCAGATGTCTAAATGAGCAATTCTCTTCATCATTTCTGCAAAGAGGGGACATGGCTAAGCAGACAGGTCCTATCACTCCTTATCTATCTAGAAGTCATTAGGTATCTGGTAGAGGGGACAAAAGAAATGGGGATGCCCACTGCTTTGGCTTTGGGGGTTTTAGTCAGTCACTTTTCCAGGTTGTGCAGTGATAAACCACCTTTCTTTCTCTATAGTCTATTACTTCTCCACACCAAAGAGGAAGGTCTGAGTGGGGTCGATGTTTGGTTGCATACTGCTTGGGGCTCCCTTAACACTGTTTGTGTGTGAAGGTTACCCATATGAAGTGGCAGCGTTCTTTCTACACTCTTTCTCCCAACAGATGCAGTTCCCGAAGAAGGACTGGGTACAATTTCCACTGAGAGTCACAGGTTAAGTCATGGAAGCCTCTGGGGTATCTCTTTTAAAGATGAATTCTGGCCGGGCTCGGTGGCTCAGCCTGTAATCCCGCGCCTTTGGGAGGCTGAGGTGAGTGAATTGCCTGAGCCCGCGGGTTCGAGACCCGCCTGGGCAGCGAGACCTCATCTTTACAATAAATAAAAAAACGAGCTGGGCGTGGTGGCGCATGCCTGTAATTCTGGCTACTCGGAAGGCTGAGACGAAAGGATCACCGGGCCCAGCAGGTCGAGGCTGCGGTGGCCGGGAGCAGCCACTGCACTCCAGTCTGGGCGACAGAGTGAGACTCCAACTCAGGAAAAAAAAAAAAAAAAGATGAATTCTGGTAACAAAGTTTTTCAGAGAGAAAAAATACAATATTGTATGGGTTGGTAGTTTGAGAAAACTTCCCTAATTAAAGTCAGACTTTTATATGCTTCAGAAAACAGTAACCCAAATATTAATGATGTGCTTTAAGACAATTTTATTTGTTGTTTATTTATTTGACCATACCAAGAGCAAATTCTGATATTGAACTTCTTTGGTCTATTGGAAAAATTAAAAAGTGATTATATTTAGAACAGTTAGCTCTTAGAACTGTATCTTGCATATAATGGGCTCTCAAAATATCTGTTAAATAAATATACTCATAAAAATTTTCAAATGCGAAATCACACATAATTTTTCCTATCATATAGCACATATCTGTACAGCTCACACCCTCATTTTATTCAGGTCTCTGTTAAAAACTTTTTTTATTCTGCCACACTCTCGCTGACCCACTCTCTAGCCCCTACTACCTTACTTGTTTCTTCGTATTATTTATTATTACTGACCTTATATATGTGTTTACTATCTGGCTTCCCCACCCGGCAAGTTAGCACCATGAGGACAGATTGTTTTGTTCACTGCTTTAATTCCTGGTTCCTAACACAGAAAATGATATGTATTAGGCACTTAAATGAATATATGAATATTTCTTTTCTTTCTTTTTTTTGTTTTTTGAGTAGGCATCTCATTCTGTTGCCCAGGTGGAGTGCAGTGGCATGCTCATGGCCACTGAAGCCTCGACCTGCTAGGCTCAGGTGATCCTTCTGCCTCAGCCTTCTGTGTAACTGGAACCACAGGTGTACACCACCACACCTGGTTAATTTTTGATTTATTGTAGAGACAAGGTCTTGCCACGTTGCCCAGGCTGGTCTCAGGCAATCCTCTCGCCTCTACCACCCAAAATGCTGGGATTACAGGCGTGAGCCACCATGTCCAGTTATGAATATTTCTTGACTCTTAAAATATAAGAAAGATACCAGGATACTGGAAGAAAATGAAAAAAAATTTAAAAAAATATGTAAGAGAAAAGCCATGGACACAAATTTTTGAAATACATGTAAGTTTTAAACAATTTATCATAAGCACCCATACACTATATCATAAATTGACAAAAAAGCTGATGATAAAAGGGCACAAAACCTCAATTAGGAGGAGTAGGTTTTTTTTGAGACATAGTGCAAAGCATGGTAAATACAGTAAATAATCATGTATTGTACATTTCAAAATTGCTAACACTAATTTCACATGTTTTTGACACAAAACAGTATTTGAGATGATGAACATGTTAATTACCTTGATTATTTTATATTATATTCACAAACTATAAGATTAATTTGTACTCCATAAGTATATACAACTATAATTTGCCAATTTATAACTTTAAAAAAGCTGCCATTCAGATAAGGTCCACAGGAAAAAAAAAAAGCTAAAAATTAAAAACAGAAGGCCAGGTGTGGTGCCTCATGCCTATAATCCCTACATTTTGGGAGGCCGAGATGAGAGGATTGCCTGAGTCCATGGGTTCGAGACTGGCCTAGGCAACTTGGCGAGACCTCATCTCTACAATAAATCAAAAAATTAGCCTGGCGTGATGGTGTGTGCCTATAGTTCCAGCTACCTGAAAAGCTGAGGCAGAAAGATCGCCTGAGCCCAGCAGGTGAAGGCGGTGGTAGCTGTGAGCGTGCCATTGCACTCCAGTCTGGGCAATAGAGTGAGACTTCAACTTAAAAAAAAATTAAAATTAAAAACAGAAAATGTGTAAGTAATAGTAATTAAAGGGAGGTTGCTGTGGCTCATGCCTGAAATCCCAGCACTTTGGGAGGCTGAATCAGGAGAATCACTTGAGGCTGGGAGTTCTAGACCAGCCTTGGCAACACAGCGAGATCCCTCCCATCTCTATTTACACACACACACACCCCAAACCCCTACCACAAATTATTCAAAAATCTATGAAGCACTATAGCCACAGCATCTGCTTGCCTGGAGGGGTGCTAACATTGCTCACCTAAGGCTTAGTGTCAGAACTGTGGGAGACATCCCACGTGGAGCATTTGGCACAGGCCCCTGCAAGTGGTCAATGCTCTAATCTCAATGATCATCGCTGATACCACAAATATTACACAGTAGTAACACATAACAAAGCAATCTGTTTAAGAAACAAAAGTCTAAACTGATAGGAGTCTGAACAAATGGCTTATTAAACCTTAATTTCATTACTTCTTAAGATACATTCATAGGAAGCAGCACAACAGTGTATTAAGAATTAGTATTTTGGCCGGGTGTGGCGGCTCACGTCTATAACCCCAGCACTTTGGGAGGCAGAGCTGAGAGGATTGCCTGAGCCCAGGGATTCCGGGCAACTTGGCAAGACCCTGTCTTTACAATTAATAAAAAAGTTTAGCCAGGTGTGGTGGCATGTGCCGGTAGCTCCAGCTACTTGGAAGGCTGAGGTGGAAGGTATCACCTGAGCCCGGCAGGTTAAGGCTGCGGTGGCTGTGAATGTGTCACTGCATTCCAGCCTGGGCAACAGAGTGAAACTCCAACTCAAAAAAAAAAAAAAAAAAAAAAGAATTAGTATTTTGCCTCCTACACATAGATCACTTTTTTCCATTGCTCTTTTCAAGCTTGTGAAAATAGACACTGTGTTATTTTAATTTTCCTTGCTTTTTAAATGGGGAAAAAAGTTACTTTCTCTTAACTTAGAAGCTTAAAAAACTTTTAACTTACAAATTACCTGTAATGTAATGCATTTAGTGGGGACCTAAAAACTGCTTGGATCAGTAATATTTATAAATTAAACAGCAAAGACATTCAAATGGCAAGTCTAAAATTCTAGACACGTATGTTAATTAGAAATCACTCTCCTACAAAACAGTATAAACAATGTCCATTTTATTACCAAAGTCCTGGAATGGTATGAGTCAGAAACTGTGCATGTATAACAAAAAACATGTTTCCACTGGCTGGAACCCAGGAATTCTTGTTTATTAAGTGAAATTTTCTTTCCCAGCTACACACAACTAGAGAGCTCAACTGCCAGACATGGAAGAGCAGCAGTTCCCTAAATGCTCCTCTCATGCCACTGGTATTTTATGCATGTTATGACCCAATGAAGAAGTTTTAGTCAATTGAGGCAAAGGAGGACTTTTAAGAAAAGTAGCAGAAGTTTAGTGGAATAGGCCCTGGGGCAGATAAGGGTGAGGCGGGAAGGGGAACAGAAATTAATGTAGGAAGTATTGCCTGGATGAAAGAAGAAACATATTTTCACTTTAACTGTCTAATTAATCAGTGATAGAGACTTATTTTTTAATTCTGGAAATTGGTAGGCACACTATTACAGGGTCACCTAAATTGTTAATCTGAAAAACAAAAACAAAAATTCCAAAGTACACCCATCAATAAAATACTCTGTAGCAATACTTGAGAGAAAACAAACTCCAGTAAGACAAGAGAAACCCATACTCTGGGAAAGTTAGTTGCTTTTCCTCCCCTGGGACTGGAAACTAAAGGTAACCACTAAAAATATACTGTCAGGCCAGGTGCAGTGGCTCATGCCTATAATATCCCAGCACTCTGGGAGGTTGAGGTAAGAGGATTGCCTGAGCCCACAGGTTCAAGACCAGTCCGGGCAACTGGGTGAGACCTCATCTCTACAACAAATCAAGAAAAATTAGCTGGGCATGGTGGTGCATGCCTGTAGTTCCAGTTACTTGGAAGACTGAGGTAGAAGGATCACCTGAGCCCAGCAGGTCGAGGCTACAGTGGCTGTGAGTGTGCCACTGCCTTCCAGTCTGGGAGACACAGTGAGACGCCTATTAAAAAAAAAGGGGGGGGGGCACCTACACAATGAACATTTGTATATCTAACCCTGAATTGTACCCTACATCTTTAAAACAAAAAATTACAAATAAATACTGTCACCTGAAAATTCTTAACCACATTCTAATGGACACTAAATGATTCAAAAGGAAGGTACTCTCCATAATTCAGTGGATTGGGAGAAATGAGCACAACTGGAGTATGCAAAGGACAAAATGCCATGACATATAATTCAAAGTTCTGAAAGGGAAAACTTAGCATTCTTGAATGTGTACTATATTTCAAGTATATTCAACTTGAAATTGTTCAATAGTCAAATAATAGTTAAATATGCATACATACTAAAGACTTAGACAATCTTAGAATATTGTAAGCCAAAACAAAGCAAGAAGGATCATATGTACAGTATGAATATTGTCACTTTTAATACAACCAAGTTTTTCTCTTACCGCCTTCAGCAGAGATGGCTGAAGGTTAACATGGCTAACAGGGATCAAATGGGATCACAGGAGAAAAACCAGGAGGAGGAAACATTTTATTCTAGAAATGGAGTAAATTATGATAGTTTTGTATACCAAAGGCTGTATCTGCTAGTCTCTACTGATAGAATTACTAATGTTTAGAAACAGATCATCTGGATCTTTGAGATCATCTGGATCTTTGGTTGACAGTGCTGGCAGTTATAATAGATCATCATTCCAAGAAGAATGGAGGTAGATGCTTTTCTTTCTTTTTTGTGAGTCGGAGTCTCACTCTGTCACCCAGGCTGGAATGCAGTTCATTGTCACTGCAGCCTCGACCTGCTGGGCTCAGTTCAGTTGATCCTTTTGCCTCAGTCTTCTAAGTAGCTGGAACTATAGGCATGCGCCACCACATCCAGCTAATTTATTTATTTTATTGTAGAGATGAGGTCTCACCAAGTTGCCCAGGCTGGTCGTGAACCCATGGGCTCAGGCAATTCTCTCACCTCGGCCTCCCAAAGTGCTGGGATTATAGGTGTGAGTCACTGCATCCAGCATGGTAGATGCTTTTAATGCTGGCTAAGCCAGAAAGTGACTGGGTTGGTTACATGGGTGTGGACCATGGAACTGATGTCAAATAGGGCCTGGCCAGGCGTAGTGGCTCACATCTGTATCCCAGGACTTTGGGAGGCCAAGGCTGGAGGATCGCTTGAGCCCAGGAGTTCAAGACCAGCTTGGGTTATATAGTAAGACCTGTCTCAGGCCAGGTCGCAGTGGCTCACACCTGTAAACCCAGCACTTTGAGAGGTGGAGGTGAAAGGGCTGCCTGAGCTCAGAGGTTTGAGACCAGCCTTGGCAACTTGGTGAGACTTTGTCTCTACAATAAATTAAGAATAATTAGCCAGGTGTGGTGGCAATCGCCTGTAGTTCCAGCTACTTGGAAGCCTGAGGCAGAAGGATGACCCTGGGCCCAGCAGGTTGAGGCTGCGGTGGCTGTGAGAGTGCCTTTGTACTCCAGCCTGGGTGACAGAGTGAGACTCCTCCGACTCAAAAAATAAAAAAAAATAAATAAGCGGGGTGGGGGGGGAGGGGAGTGCCCCAAATCAAGGACTGCATTCTGATCGCTGACAAAGTAATCTGTGCATCCAACTCAGCAGAGGAAACTAAAGAAACATCACCCGTGACAATGTTTATTATTTATTAATCTTGGAAAAGTTGGAGGAAGGGCTAGGGATAGAATAATATACATACAGTGGGAACTTTGAAATCATATCTTTTATTCTCAACAGAAACTGACTATGGTTATTTTGAGTTAAC